TAACCTGAACCAGAACTTAACTCACACCATACCTCTAAACCTAACTAGTAAAATTAACCATTACTGGTCTACACACACCGAGATTATAACTTTGGACTCTTGGTTTTAACGTACCGGTTCATTTCCTCTCCTCATCTTCAGGCGCTCTCCCAGAGAGACGCTCCTCATCGTAACTTCTTCTTCTTCGACGGCCGTAAAGGCCACGGCGTGGTGGACTACTTCGGGCCGAACTGAACGCCAGCTTCACTCACAAACGTCTGTCAGGTTATTCAACCGTCTGTTCTTCTTATCGTCACCACCAGAGGCGTGGCATGTTGTTGTTGTTTTTTTACATTTGCTAATAAAACTTTTAAACATTTATTTATTTTTTTACTTCTGGTTTTTTAACAAAACACAAAACTGGTTCTGTTGAAACTTTAGCTGAACACTGAAACATGAGCAGATCAAAGGTCATTTAGAAAAGGGCTGCTTAAGAAACCCTCTAACAAACACATTTATTCTAGTTTTTAATAATAAAAAAAAAAAACAGCTCCATCCTAAACTTACTGCAGTTTTTCCTTCTAAATTTATATAATTAAACAACCTGAGGCCTTCAGCTGATTACTGAGGATATTTTACACCAGTAGTTTTTATTCAGAGGGACTGGATCCATAAATAAAATAGATTTTTAACTCCTAATTGCTTAAAAACATGTTTGTTTTTGTGTTTATGAGGTTTTATTAATCCTAAATAGCTAGAAGAAACCAAAAATTTGATATTAATCAAGAGGGGGTCCAGATTAAGCAAATGATTAACCAGATTTTTCACTTTTCATCCACTTTGACCTGATTAAAAACTAATTTAATGCAGTTGTTTTAAATATTTTGCTAAAACTAAAAACATTCAAACAGGAAGTTTTGTTTCTCATCTTTATTGTATAAAAACAGAAAAAGTACAAAATCCAAGTAGAAATTTTACAATAGAAAATAAACCCCAGCAACAACACGACGCGCCTGGGCTCGCTGCAGGAAGGAGACTTTACAAAATAAAATCAGGTTAAATCCGAGCGGCTCAGCGACGGCAGCAGAAGTTCAGGCAGGAAACGAGTTGATCTCCGTTTGGCCTCGTGAGCCGGCGTCATTCAAGAATTTATACATTAAATATTAAAAAAAAACAACCCACAGGCTTTTAGTCCCGTCTGACACAAACAAACAAAAACGTTGCTGAGTTGTTTACATTCCCTGAAACAAACAATGAGTAAACACACGAGGCTAAAGTATGTTACAGTACATACGTGTGTATTTGTACACATTTATGACCTGGGTTCAAACGTACCAGTACATTAACACCTCAACTTTCACAATTAAAGGGTGTCTTGGTGCCTCTTCACAATAAAAGCCTCTTTTTTTAATGCTTTATAAACAAGTTAATTCATATTATTGAAATGCTTAATAAAGAAACGCATCAAAGCAGGCTCACTATTTGGCAAGAATAAATGTTTACTTTTATTTTTCATTTCATTTTAAAATGTTAGACGTGAGCAGATTAGAGGATTCAGTTTGTTTTAACAAATAGTTAAATTTAAAGTAATCAAACTAAATTTAACTGATTCTTTTGTAAAACTGAATGTCTCGGCCATGTTTCATATTTTTATACGTTTTAGACGTTACCTTATGAGAGTTTTATAAGATATTTTGCTAACAGTAGTTTTGGACAAAGATCTATAAAACTGACAAGAGATTTTTACGTTTTTTTTTTTCTTGTTTTTAGAGTCAGTGGCTGTGGCGGCCATCTTGAATCAGGTCATTGAAACACTGAATTAAAGACAAATAGTGAGCCTGCTTCTGTGTTTAAAAAACATTAAATTTTTTATCATCAGGCGGCGGCACGTTTCCTGTTTATCTGTTCAGAAATCTTAATTTTGATCAGAAGGTTAAATTCATCTACATAAACAAATCATCAAGGAACAAACAAACGAAAATAGAGCTACTTTTCAAAATAAGTTACACATTTATTACAAATTATTTTCTCTTCAGCTGCAATGAAAACTGAAGGATGAACATTTCTCCTGCAGATCATCAAATACACCTCAAATCCACAGGATTTAAATAAAGAACGACTGATTGACACTGGAGTGAAACCAGGAAGAAACGTGTTTTTAAAAAAAATAAATGAGAGTTTAACGGGCTGAAGCTGAAACATTTGAACGTGACGCAGTTTTTGCCTCAAAGCACTTCAGGACTGATTGTTGCAGAAAGGCACTTTTTTAAATCCGTATTTAATAAACGGTTCTGATCAGACGTTTGGCTCAAAGTGGCGTTAAACCCTCAAACAGAACCGACTTCACAGTTTTCTCTGAGACACGAAAAACAAAAAAAACTACGTCTGAGATTCGCAGAATTGTGACTAAATTACAAAATAAAAGCCTCTCGTGGATTATTTTACAGCTGAACGTTAAAGTTTGGAGGTTGTATAAAATAAAAACAGAACGTAAAGCTTGTTAAATCTCATAAAACCGTATTTTATACAGAGCGGAACTAATTAAACATTTAAACTGAGAAATTTAATTTAGATTTTTATGGCAACGTGTCGAGACAAAGCCGTAAAAACTAAATGGTTTCGTATTTTATAACTAATTAACAACAGATTAATAAGATCTGGGTGTAAAGAGAACCGCTACCATGAATTTCAAAATAAAAAAGGTTTGATTTGTTCATTATGTTGTGAAGAAAATATACATTTATGAATTTATCAAATCATTACGCTTTGTTTTTAATTACATTTTCAACAAAGTCACAATTTATAGGCCCATAAAAAAATAATAATTTACAGCTGCACAAGACCAAATGACAGCAGGAGGCGGAGCTACAAACTGAAACTTTCTGCCATAAATTCCTCTTTGTTTCTCTGATTCTGTGCAGCTCAGCCGATCAGTTTCAGTCCGACCCGAGTCCTTCCTGAGTCCACGCACACTCCTGCTACAAAGAGCCGACCCCCCAACCCCGAGGCCGGACCAGAACTAACTTTACAAAATGTACAATCTGTCGGCCCGTCAGCTGCGGTCCAGACCAGCAGACTGACTGACGGGACAGACGGACCGGGTCCAGTGTTCACCGGAGGCGCCGGCACCTCCAAACTCCTGACGTCATTTGTTCAGTTCGGTATCAGACCAGTTCAGGTTCAGGGTCTACGTCAGTCTGTAGAGAGTGCTGAGTGTTTGGGTGATGAAGCTGAGGAGTTCTCTGCAGACGTCTCTCCAGCCCCGCCAGTTGGGGGCGCCGTGCTGCGACACAAACAAAACCCATGAAACCAGCGTTTGTTGGAGAAGTGACCCGAGTCCGGTCCGGTCCGGGAACTCACCGCTCTGCGGAGCATCGCGGCGTTGAACTCGTCTCCGATGGTCCTCAGCTGGCCCGCCACCCTGCTGACGTCCAGCTGAGCCGCGGCCCGGGACAGGTGCTCGTTGTGGGGCAGCAGGTCGGGCAGAGGCCCCGGCCTGCTGGAGTCCTGCTGGATCTCTGTGTCTCTGTCAGAATCTGTGGAAGAAAAGAAAAACAGTTTCAGGCTGTTTCTGTAACAGAATAATCCAGTCTGCTCCTCTGTTTGTTTTTATTTTACAGATTATTTATTATTATAATTACTAAATACTTCAGTCTGTTCAGAAACAAACAGGCTTCAACTTGAGTTTATAACAGATAAGAGTTTTTATATTATCACCACCAAAACAAAGATCACCTAAAGCAGGGTTTCGTAACCTTTTTGACCTTGGGGTCCAGTGTGATAAACATAAAGAGGCACAAGACCCAGTCAGACATTACCATATGGATCAAAATGATAATTATTCTAAATATTGTTTTAATTTGTATTGTATTTGCATTATAACCAAATTAAATACACTTGTTTAAAAGTAAAACTCCTGTCAAATAATCACAAAACATGATTATGACAAACATTTTTTTTCTATTGTAACTTGCCCATAAGAATTATTTGAACAAGTCAACAGACCACTCAGGCTTATCAACACAAAAATAACTTTTTTTATTTTTTTACAAACAACAAAAATAGACAATTCAATAACTAAAGTAGTGGTCATACAATAAATGTTTAATGTAAATGTTTCAAGTAAAAAAAAAAACTGTAAAAAATTAATTTGATATACAGTAGCCTTTTTAAACGTTTGCAACCAGAAGCTGCTCTTCATATTAGTGAAAAACAATAACATTAACAACAGCTTTTTGACAAATTTAAAGTTCTTTAAAATACATTCAAAATGTTTAAAAATAAACTAAAACATTATTTTAAAGTGCACATTAAAACATAGTTGTATCTGCAACTGTTTTTGATAATGTTTTGAACTTTTAAAATACTGCATGATAGAACCAGAAGCTGCTCTTCATATTAGTGACAAACTTTGGTTTTTTTTGACGAGTTACATTCATTTTTGCTTCTACTTTTAATTTAAAATAGGTTTCCATTCTCGACAGGTTTCTAAGGTTCTTCTACGTATTAAAAAAAGTTGTTAAACAACTGAGTGGTGCACTACGGCTACTAGTGGTGAGAAAGTGTATTGCATCTTATTCAAAATCAATGTGGTCCAAACTTAAAAGCTGTTGTTCTTTTGAGGCCCTCAAGGGGGCGCTCATGAACCACTGGGTTAAGAATCTCTGACCTAAAGGCTCACCTTAATTTATAATATTCATTTTAACTTTGAGTGGATACGGTGTTGTCACTGACGAGGCTGAAAAGCTGCTTAACGAGCTCATTAACGACTTAAAGATGCTAACGCTAGGCTAACGCTTCACAACAGTAACTTTCTGTCTCCACTCGTGTTTCTGCAAGCAGGAAGTCTTTTAAGGAGGTAAAAACAAACTATTTATTGCCTTTTTGTTTCTTTAATATTGTTAATTTGTAGCATTTAGCGATGTAACAATAAGAGGTAATCTGTTGAGCTGAAAATGAAACAAATCTGGTTAATCTGAGACAACTAGAAACTTCCTGTTTGATTTCTGGTTTTTGTTCCTTTTCAGTTTCAGGTGATCCGACCGGTCTTCTTTGTTACATCTGGATCCCCAGCTTCATTTATTTATTTTCTTCGACTCGTCCGTTTGAATAGAAGACCCTTGTGCTCATTTTGGTTGCCACGGTAACTGACGTCCTCTCCGAGAGGATTACGGACCGTTCCGTTAAAAAAAAAAAAAAGAAAGGCGTAAAGAAAGAAAAAACCCAAACAAAACAGGAAAACCCTGACCTGTTGCCAAGGTAACTCTGACACGCGGGTGATTGGAGGAGACAAAAGGAAGGGGCTGACAGCTGATAGGATGAGTTGGAAGAGGAGGCGGGGCTTGGGGTGAATTTTGACTGACAGGCGAGGTGACGGAGACCCTGTCAGATATGAAAACTGGGAGGATAAAACAAAAACAAACGAGCAGAAAAGTCGACCTTTCAGTTTAGTTTAATCAAAAACAAACGTTTTTATTTATGTTAAGCTTTTAAATGTTATTTAATTATTTTTTTAATTATAAGTTTATTCACTTAAAACAAAACATAAATTCAATATACAATAAAGATACAAACCATAAATTAAATGAAAGGTAGCAGAGAAAAAAATCTTATGATTTCTGCCCCTTTTTCTCAAATAAATAAATTCGGTCAAAAATCTTCAATTTACAAAAACGTACAAAAAACAAAAAGAAAAACAATGAAGGATTAAATCCTTCTTGAGAAACAATTTGTACATTATACCCACACATATTTCTCCAACAAATTAACCTTTATCATTCTCTTAAATATACACATTGATCTCACTCACAGGTCAAAGTCCTGCAGACGAGATTAGAGAAAACCTGACTGAGCGTCTGAGGGGGAAGTGCTGCAGATTGTTGCTTTTTTGTCTCTGTCAGGGTGCAGAGAGGACAAGTCTGAACATGCCTTCCTCACAGCTGACCTGCAGCTGAAGAGGAGGAGGAGGAAACAGAGGGAGGAGGTGTCTGTTTACATCCTCACACTGCAGCTCAGAAAGAAAAAAACAACTAAATATGATTTTCTGCTGTTTAAATTAAATAACCTGTGACACAACCGAGCTGCAGCTGAAAGGAAACAATCAGGAAATTTATATAGATACGAGTAGTCAGTATCTCACCTGCAGCAGTCTAACAGAGCTAACAGGGACTGAGCCCATTCTTTGTGCCATCTAAGATTTTCAGCAGGTTCCTACCTGAAGGTTCTCCCGACGAGTCCCTCTGAGCGTCTGTTCCTCGGTTCCTCTGCTCAGAACCAGGTGACGGTGGGGGCGTCACCCTTGTCGAAGCCCGCCGGAGCTGCTCCCGACCCTCGAGGCCAGGAAAGGCCGGCGGGTACGACAGGTTCAGGACCTGAAAGGGTTCCAGGTGATGGTAACGGTGGCGGACGATGGCGGACCCGCTCCTTGTGGATCTGGGTGTCGTGATGAGAGCGCCGGGCCAGTCGTGGAGGGGGCGGGGCACCTCCATACGGCAGGTGTTGTGACACGGAACAGGCCCATTTCCTACGACCTCATGTTCTCCGACGGTCTCGATGGTCTCTGCTCGAGCCATCTCAATTACTGCCTGAATCAAAAAAAGGTATTTAATCCAAAAGGTTTTTCTCTTTTTAGTTTTCTACATCCTTTATTAGCTTTGGTCTTTATAAACTGAAGATTAACATGTTTTATGACAGGCTAAAATGTACTTTTTACTCAGTCATTTAATTTAAAATGTTGCAAATGCAATATATATTTTTGAAAGAGTTTTATAAAAAATTCTTCTACTTTGTGAGAGGTCAAAAGATACCTCTGAAATAACAAATGCCATAATGTTTGTATTTGCAGTTTATTTTGCAAAATAGCAACTTTTTTGCCATTTAAAATTATTTTACAACAGTTTGCTCTTTTTGCAAGAAATTAAAATCAGATTCTGCACAATACAAGTCACTTTAGTACAATTTATAACAATTTTAGCAGCTTAAACAATTTCTTGAATGGTTTAAATATTAGTTTTTAAATTTGTTGCAGTTATAGGCTTTTATATAGGTTGATATTCTGAGTTTAAATTTTTCTTGCTCAGTTTAAAATCACATTTTGAGCAGTTTTCACTGCTTTATGATTTGCATTTTAAAACTATTGATGCATTTTTTTGTCTTTATATAAATATCTTCACAATTAATCCAGCTCTACATTCATGCAAAGGTTTAAAAATTTAAATAGACCCCCCCCCCCAAAAAAAAAAAATAATTAAATAAAAAACAATTTCAACAATAATTTTAAAACAATGTTTTCAGTGTTTGAACAGACCGTCTGTCCTCATCCTGACCACCAGGGGGCAGCAGAGGCTCCTCTGATCACATGACTCGTGTTTGTAAACAAATCCGCGCACGACTGTGCGCGCACACAAACACGCGACTGAAAAGAGGAGGTGCGTGACAATCGGGATTATTTAAACGTTTACATGTTAGCAAAGCAAACAAACACGTTTAAAATGTGCGTTTTAATCATTTTTAAATATTTTTTCCCGAAACTCGTTAATATTCAGATATTTTTAACTAATCGAGCGATTAATTGTTTTTATATCTATATATTTTTTTAAATGTTTGTTTTGGACAAAACGCAGATGTAGGTAAAATAAATAAACACACATTTATAAACATTAAATGTATTTATTTATGCTCAGACGCGCCTGCTGTCCAGACCCGGCATGTCTGGACATGTCTGACACACAAAGAGGCAGAAACTGACCAACAAGCATTTAATGTAATTGGGCTATAATTAACGCTGTGCTTTATTTATTAAATTAAAATGAATGTCTGTAATTAAAAGTCCTGATTAAAATGTTTTATTGGCAGCTTCTCAAACAGCTGAGCCGATGATGTAACTTTGCACCGTGAAAAGAACCAACTTCTTCAGGAGGAAATAAATTAAATTAATTTTCTTACTTTGTGAAAATGATCCGTGATGATGCTCTGTGCGCGTTGGAAGCAGTAGATGAAAGGTTGACATCAGACAGAATTAATGTTTCCTCCCCAAAAAACCCCAAAACCCCCCAAAACCCAGCCGTGAGGATGATGAACAGATGCTGCTGCTGGTGTTAAAATCCAATCGGCGGGAAAAACAAACACCACGTCATTCCACTTCCGGTCCTCCACAGAAGGATTGTCTCTAAAACACGTTTCTGTTTCAAATTAACCCATTTAGATGAAAAATATTCACCTCCAGAACCGAGCTCGTGTCAGTCCGATCTGTTCCGTCCGAGCGAAACTCTTCGGCTTTTATTGCGCGCTCGGCACCGGAAAAAGGTGACATCAACATCCGGTTTGGCGCCTTCAAAGTAAAACAACCCTATCTGCTTGGCTAGCTTTGGTTGAAGAAACGTAAAAACGTGCTAAAAAATGAGCCAAGATTTGAATAATCATTAACAGGTAAAATAAAAAACATGAAAAATTACTTCAACTTGAAACTAAAACGGATGCTTGAACTATTAAACTTTTTAAAAACTGTGTAAAAAAATGTATTTTCTGTTTAAAATTGAAGCCACTTTTAATATTTAATGCTTTAAAGCAAACTGACACTCTTTTTTATTGTGTTTATGCTTTTATTTTCTTGCCTGCGTTGATTTCTGCAGAACTTGACTTTCCTTCTTCCCTCCACAACACACATGCTGCTGTCCCTTCTCTTTTCATTCAACAAAAATAATTCTTTTTTTTTTTCACTTAAACCTGGAAAACAAACTGTTTCTTATTTTAAAACGTCATGCCAATGCCCTTCCTGTACTGCGTCTCACCTCCTCTTCATTTTTACCAGAGAAAAGTTGGGTTATTTCCTCATCACACACACCCACATACAAACAAAACCCTCCTTTCTCCCACCAGCTTCATTTCCTTCACCTCAACTTCAGCAGCTGTAAATCCAAACAAAGATCCTCTGTGAGGTGAAGATGAGTCACTTAAGTAAACAGAGTTTTTTTCACACATTCACAGCAAACTGTGTTAAAAACCCTCCTCCTGTTTGAATTAATTTGAGTAAAACTTGTGCAAAATTATACAGAGATGGTGCTAGACGTCACTCGGAAAGTTTTCAACCCTCTCTCGCCTTCACAGCTTCACTTTGTTGTTTAGAACATAAAATGTGAAAATTGACAATACAAGCCTGAAACCTTTAATTTAATTAATTAATTAATTTCTTTGCAGCAGGTTAAAAAAAATTAAAAATGCTCGACTGTCATCTAACTGAAGCTGAAGAAAAAAATTATCCTGTTTTTTGTTTTGAATTAGCATTAAATTTAATTAAAAGCAAAAACTGCTTATTTGTGTTAAAAGACAGATAAAAAATTGCATAAAAACAACAAACACATTAAAATTTTTGTGAGCAGAATTAATGCATTTGTTTAATTTTTCATGAAAATTTGAGGTTGGTTATAGTTTTGTTTCTATTTTTGTTTTACTGTAAAGGTTTAGCTCACCTAAAAATTAAGAATCATAATAATATTTCAATAAATACTGCGAGATAAATTATTGCTACAGAGCTACTTTACTGTTAAACTGATATGTTTGTAGCATTTAAAGAGATAATTGGTTTTCATCCCTTTAGTTGCATTTTGTCTTACTTTAGTTTGTTTTTTTCCCCCCTAAATTCTGTTTTGTTTGGTTTGTTTTTGTGCCGAAGTCTCATTTTACAACTAAATTAATCTTAAAGGGTTATGTAAAATTAAAAAATAAACAAATAAAACCAGCTCAGATTAACATCCGGTCTTTGTTTTACGTCTGAATTTTTAAGAAATCATCTCCTCCTGCGTTCAAATCCTCATTAAAAATCCTTTTTTTATGTTTAAACCAAATGTCTTTAAGTCAAACCTCAGCAGATATGATCCAGAATTAGTGGGAGTCGTGTTTAAACCCATAAAAAGTGGTTCTGGTTCTGATGGTTGCTGCTCCTGCATCACATTAGCATCTTAAGTAACCTCAGAACCCCCCCCGCCACCACCACCACCACCACCACCACCACCACAGAGTGTCGACCTTTGACCCCCAGCTCTTTGTGTTCCTGTGGCCGCTCTCAGCTGAGGGGGCAGAGACAGGGGCGGCCCAGCTGAGCTGCAGGTCGGAGGCTGAACCCCCCCTTAGCCCCCCACCCCTTTGTTTGGGTTGATGGGGGTAAACAGGGCGGGTCTGCTGAGTGACATGCCCGGGCGAAGATCCTCCACCCCAGACTTCACAGCCACGAGTGCCGCGGCGCTGACACCAGATTCAGTTCTCTGGACCCGGTTTCACCTGAACCACTCACTAAAGAGACCTGGATCTCTCGAGTCTTTCACAGACGAGCTTCATGAACATCGGAGTCTGTTTTGTATTTTTTACATCATTTATAATCAAACCACCGCTAACGAAAGAGAAGAGCCGTCAGCGTGTTTCGTGTTTCACACCCAGAATACCTGCTGCTGGTCCTGGTCCTGGTCCAGAACTGTGATGAAGTCACCTGATGGGTCTCTGGTTCCAGAGTGCATCATCAACATTGTTTAACGCTCCGCTGCTTTTAGGGGGTTATTCAGAGTAATCTGAGTGCTATTACACAATTGTGATAACATCAGATAACACACACACACACACACACACACACGTACAGGTAATCTACACCTGTGTAGTTGTGATAAGCTGGTAAGTGAGATCTGCCACCTTGTGTCTTACTCCTGCTGTGAACCAAATCAACATTTTTTCTGTTATTCAAACCAAAAATCTCTTAAAGTGAGGTTCTGCTGAGACATTATGAGCAGGTATTATCTTACCTGTTGTGGACGCATCTGTTTGTGTCGACTGCGGCTAGTGGTTATTTTTTAGAATCTCAGTTTTATAAATTTTGACGATCATCTGTGTGCACAAACAGCAACAGCAGCAGCTAGCTGTAGCACTTCCAGTGCGACATGATGCACTTCCTGCTCACATTAAATTCCAGTAGTAATAACCATGTAACATAAAAGCAGACTAGTCGTTAGCTCGTTTGTACAGACAGAAACCAACTATTTCTCCAAACTGAGATTAAATAGCTATCTACAGCAGGTAAGATATTTGTTAAAATTGCTTCCTCAGCTAAACATTAGAAAACAGATAAATGGTTTTAACTTAATAATTTGTGCAGATATTGAGCTAAAACTTGATGTAGCTGAGATTTATCCACAATATAAACAAGGAAATATGGAAATAATGGTTAAAATTCACAATGCTGTCTCTAAAATTTTTATTTTTTATTTGTTTGTTTTGCTGTCTCATTCTCTGTTTTTAGTTATAGGTCGGCGCTTTGAACCCGGTGACCGGTCCCAGGAATCCCCCATCGTGTGTGTTTAGCTGCTGTTTATCTTGCGGTAACCAAAGCAGGCCGAAGCTCAGCAGTTTGTCACCACAGCTGAAAGCTGAGCTCGTCTTTGGGTTGCTGTGATGACTTCATCGTTTTCACGCCTCGCCTCCTCCTCCCTGCATCCAGAAATCATCTCAGATGTTTAAAAAATAATAAGACAGTCTAATTTTTAAATCTTTATCATGATAAGTGAAATATTTCCCCCACTCCAAGCTCTGTTGTTAGTCTGCTTCAGCGCCTGAGGGAGATATATGTAGTTGTGTTGCTGATCATTAAAAATAGCCGTAGTTCAGTCCTTTTTACAGACTAAATAAAACTTGGAGTCAGATTTAGTTAGACTACGTTAGTTTTAACTCAGCAGGTTAACAGTTTGATGGAGTACACTGGGTTAGGATTTCTATCTAAAAATTGGTTTAAAATGACAAATATTTTGAGTTAAATGTAGGATTTTAGGAAGTTCCCTTCATTAGATAGTTACAACGTGTTGGTGCTAACTGCTATTAGCATCGGCTAGCACCAACTTTGTTTTGGTAGTTTTCTGACATCTGAGCTAAAATTTGATAAGGTAGTTTGGGTTGGGCGAAAACATATGATGTGCAAGTAATGGTCAGAAAAGCTGCCACTGTGGTGCGTAATGGGGAGCCAGCACATTAGCATTAACACTAAAGCCAAGCTAACACTAGCACGGAGCCAACATTAATGCAGAGCTAACACTATACTAATGGAGAGCTAATGCGAACGCCAAGACAATGCTAACACAGGGCTAACACTAATGCAGAGCTAATGCAAACACCAAGATAATGCTAACACAGGGCTAACACTAATGCAGAGCTAATGCAAACACCAAGATAATGCTAACACAGGGCTAYCACTAATGCCGAGCTAGTGCGGACGACAAGATAATGCTAACACAGAGCTAGCACTAATTCGGAGCAAAATAACATGGAGAAAACTTTTAACACAGAGGTGACACTAAGGTTGTGATAACACTAAATCCAAGCTAACACTAGCATGGAGCCTACATTAATGCAGAGCTAACATTGTACTAATGCAGAGCTATTGCGAATGCCAAGACAATGCTAACACAGAGCTAGCACTAATGTAGAGCTAACTAACTTGGAGAAAACTCTTATGCAAAGCTAACACTAAGGTCAAGCTAACACTAATGCAGCGCTAACAATAATGCCAAGCTAACATTAGCATGGAGCCAATGTTAAGGCTGTGCTATCACTAATGCAGAGTTAATGTGAATGCTAAGCTAATGCTAACACAGAGCTAGTACTAATGAGGAACTAACTACATGGAGCAAACACCAATGATAATGTGGAGCTAATTCTTACGGAAAGCTAAGGGTAACATTAGAAGTTGGTTTGACTAATGATTTGTCAAATCTTAATAGTTATTTTTAAATATCATGATTAATCATGATAATTTTTTAGCAACATTGCTGAAACTCTTAAAAACTAGTTGCAAATTTATAGCAGATAATTCTCACCGACTTCAACATTTGGGCTCATTTTTTCAGCTGGTGCCATCTTTGTGAGTTAGCGTATAGCTTGTAGCATGAAAAACATAGTGACCGAAACAGAAAAGCAAGCAACAAAATGGAAGAAAAATCATAAGTTTTAAAGGGACACTGTAGTCCCAATGTTTTATAGATTTTTTAACTTAACTGAATAGCTTTAAGATGTTAAATTTTGAATGTAGCCTGTTTTGCCGTTTAGCTTAATAGATTGCTGTATCTTAGCTGAACTTCTAAGGGTCCACTGATTTCGTCATCGTAGTTTGACAAACTGGAGTCCCCATGAGGCTAGAAACGGCACTGTGCAGTCCTTTAAGGAACGCAGTGCCTTTAATGTTCATTCAGTTAAACTCTCCTTTGATCTTGGGTAAGCTCCGCCTCCTCCAACGCTTTTATCGCCTGACTTAAACAAATGATCTCCCGTTGTTGTGATAATTATCAGCTAAAGAGGCGCAGCAGAGGTGGTACAGGTGGCTGTCATCAGGTGATTTCAGAGAGGTTTTGGCGCGGCGGCGGTGGCTACCTGTCGACAGGTGAAGTTATCCCAGCAGCTCCCCGCGGCCTTATCAGCAGATGGACGTTGTGATGTTCAGAAAGTGCTGCAGATAAAACGAGACAAAGCTCTGCAGGTTGTCACATTCAAATATAACGGTAACGTTTCTCTGACAGGGTGAACTCAACTCTTTAGTTAGTGCAAAACATTTATGTGAAATTATCCTGAATGATTCATAATAAGTCTGCCATAACCAGATTTAAGTTGTTTTTTTGTAGTGCAGCAGAAAACAGGATTGGATTAAAGAAAAAAAAACAATCTAAGGGACAGTTCTGTGAGCAGAGAGGGGAAAAAAAGGCCCCGAAGCACCATTACCTCATCCGTTTTACCCCAAACTGAGACGGACAGATGGACCTGCTGCTGTGCTCCTGAGCCAAACTAATCCTTGTTGTGATAAGTTGGGTCAAACTCAGCATGGAGGAATGTGGCACTGTTCACACACGGCTTCATTTAAGGGATAAATTTAACCGTTTATTATCGTCGCTTTAAAATGATTTGAAAACACCTGGTTTGATCAGACAGAAATGCTCTCTCTCTGGTTTATTGTTGAGGCTAAATTAACAGGATTCCCCTCTAGCCTGGCCGGTGTTCTGGCTCCACCAGCTTCCCTGTTCTTGCTGAAAAAAAAAACCATCCCCACAGCATGATCTGCCACCACCATGCTTCACAGTTGGAATGGGAGGCAACGTGCAGCACTTTATTGCTTTGGATTCAGAGATACAAAAAAAACCCTTTATTTGCCATTTGTGCACAAACCAGCAGTCCAGGCCTCCCTCGTCATATTCAAACATTTAAAATCACACTAAAAATACAATAGAACGATAAAATGCTATAAACTATGTCCACGCTGTAGAGAAAGTAGTGACATCTACTTCTTAATAAGGTAAATAAGGTAATTTTTCTCTCCGTAGACAAGGTTGTTGTCCTCCAGTGTCCTGTCCACCATCGTCCACCATTTGGATGAATCCCAGTATGATGATGTCATCAGCATATTTGAAGACAATGTTCAGTTTTTTGTACTCAACTCTTCCATAAAGTTCATATTTGTGACGTTTCATGACTAATCAAAAAGGAGTCAAACCCATCCATCCATCCATCCATCCATCCATCCATTTTCTTCCGCCTATCCGGGGTCGGGTCGCGGGTGCAGCAGCTTCAGAAGGGAGGCCCAGACCTCCCTCTCCCCAGCCACTTCTCCCAGCTCCTCCGGGGGAACTCCAAGGC